TTCATTTCTGTAAAAATGAGAATCAACGTACACGCCTTAAGAATACACCTACCAAATTTCGTTACCTTTCGATAAGATTTGATACGTCGTAACTCTATTCTACCAAGACGTGACGAATCTGCTTCTCTTGCCTTATACACCAAAGCAAAGCTAACCCTCTGCTTCTCACAAGTTAACTTCTCCTCTCCTTTTCTCAAACTAAATTCTCAGGAACAAACAGCGACAACAAAAAAAAAGAGAAGATTCCACTTCAACTGAAAGAGAGTCAGTAGCAGAACTTAACTAAGGCGTTCCTTATAAAAGTAAGGTTTTTGGTTTACCTAAACCGATATTAATTAAACCACTTTTGATTCGATTGACAAATTGACCAGTTTAGGAGATCAACCGGAGTTAAACCGACTCCACCCTAATTCTTATACACACTCAAGTCTCCTATTAATTTTCAGAACACGGACGTTACACTTATATATGTGTTTATATACTTAAATTTTTGTTTATTAGTTTGAAGTTTTGTGTGTATATGTCGCTGTGTCACTATGAAAGGAAGTTCTGCATATTTGAACTCTTATGTCATGTATTCAGTTGATGTTCACTTGAGTTTTATATACATAATTGGTTTTTGCCCAAAATTGGTATGACATATTAATAAAGAAAAGTTATTAAAATTATAATTAAAATCCTTTAACTGATTTAAAAGATTTATAAGAGACTTGGAATATTTATATACAAAAAATACCTTAATAGTACTAGATTTTTGTTTAGCTAATATATGTAATTATTGATAGTGACTTTAACCAAAAACAGTTGATATCTGACTCGATATCGATAAGTTGGTTAAAAATAAAAGCAATATGAACTATTGTATCATTATGGGTTTTGATTAATGATTACGATTATAATTAACGATTGAACCAAGAGACTGTAACAAACCAATAACAGTTATTATGAAGTTAACTTTGATTTGTGGAACTGAATAGGAAATTGGCTAAAGCAAAAAATTTGATTAATTTGCGACATTTTAATTATAATAACTAAATCTGACTTTGTGTTACTGATCGATCTCGTCTAAACTGGTGGTGTTTACTATAGAAAACAGCATAAATCGACATCGAATATATCAGAGAAGATCGCTCAATCAAAATTTCAAACGCAAACTTTTCTAAGATAAATCACTACCACAAATTTAAATATACGAGATTGAGTTTAGTAAAGCTAAGATAGTAATATACTAATATTACTCAAAATTTATTATACATGTATGAGAAATAGGGTCGGAGAGTTTATGCTTACCAAGATGGTGCTAGTATTGTTCGTATAATTTTTTAATGTGGACTATACGAACAATTGTTTTGAACTCTTAGAGCTTTTGAAGATTATAAGAATTTTTTTTGGATGATTAATTTCTCATACAATGAAACAAGGTTATTGTGTGGATCGGAGTACATATAACAACAACTATGATCATTTGTAAAAAACAATTCTGAACCTAGATTTTGGATTATAATAATTAAAGTGTCGATCATGAAATCGCAACTCTAAATTTAAGAAAACGATAATATTAATCATTTAATGAATTTAAGATTATAACTATGTCTTGTCTATCTTCTCCCTTAGTCAAAAATTCCAAAAAATCTTAGGTTCCCCTGGATTATAACTATGTCTTGTCCATCTTCTCCCTTAGTCAAAAAAATCCAAAAAATTTTAGGTTTCACCTGGATTATAACTATGTCTTGTCCATCTTCTCCCTTAGTCAAAAAATCCAAAAAATGTAAGGTTTCACCTGGATTCCGGTGTATTTGTACGGAAAAAGATTTGCCTTCAAATGTTCACAAACCGTTTGCCAGAATAATAACAAACTGTTTTTTAAAGTTTCTCTCCTCTTATGCATGTATAACTAATTAACAATACTTATTAAGTTTAAATCAAACTTTCAAGACTGATTATAGCAAAATCGGTTGATTGTAGCGAATTTGGTTGATTTTAGAGAACTTGATTGACTTAAGCTTAACTAGATAATGAGATTTTCTGTTTTCGTACGGAAATTGATTTAATACCAGTTGACAATGCTTATTAAGCTTAGTTCATATTATACCAAGGTTTCTAATCTATATTAGTAATAATAATTCACAAAAATTATTTGAGCAAGTACATTTTGATTTATTTTTTTATGAATTCATATTACTAAATTAGATTAAAAGAATTAAACAAAAAAACTTTTGAACCACCCGCAACCATCCATAGAATAAATTCACTATAATTTTTTGTTTTATTAATAAAAAAACGGATACTGATTCCATTGATGAAGAAGGCATTCTTTCTTTATTTTGGTTATCCATTCTTGATAGTTCATGGTAGTTGAATACAATAATCATACATTAAACATATATATTCATGAGACATAATTAAAAAAAAAGCAATTGTATGGTTAGATTCTGAAACTATAAATATGTATAATATATAAAATCAATACAATACAGAAATCCCGTGATCACAAAATTTTGAAATTAATTAAAGTATACTTCCTTGCGTAGTTGTAAGTAAGAGAATATATTTTATTAAATTATAAACACAAAAGATTAAAACCAAATGAGAAAATGAAAAAGTGACTATCCAAAAAGTAAAATTATCTTATTTATTATTAATGCTTATAAATAAATAAATATATCTTATTATATAAAGATTAGTTTTCAAATTTAGCCATTAACAAGATAGTGACATGTGTTAATTCTAATTTTGTTAATATTTAGATAAAAATAGAAATATTATTAACCCCATCGAAAAAGTAAATATATAAAATAAGTATTATAAAAAATTATATACTAAAACTTATTAATAAAATTAAATAAATAAACTAATCTGAGTTATGTCAATTTGGTTTATTAATAAGATAGAGATTTAAAATTATTATTAAACGAAAATATATGTCGATTTTTGTTTACAGAAGAGGATTAAGGTTTTAACTTGATTTAACAGGTTATATGTTGGTTTGGGTGTATAAATGATAAATGAGAATTATGGTTTATCTTTGTAAATGAAAATTATGGTTTAGGTTTAACAATTAAACGAGATTATATGTCGAAACCTGGTTTTCAAAGTTATGAACTCACGTGATCATGATAAGTGTCAAGTAAAACATAAGATGTTGCAACATGTTATATCTAACTTTGTTAATATTAAGATAAAAATAGAATTGTTAAAAAACATTAAAATATAAAATAATTATATATTCAAACTTTTTTACTTAAAAAAAGTAAACTATTAACCTAATTTTTGGTTATGCCGGTTGGGATTTATCAAAGAGATAAGGGTTTAAGACTAAAGAAGATTATATGTTGTTTTTGTTTATAAAGAAGGATTAAGACTTAGGTTTTACAGTTATAAGGGTTATATGTTGGTTTGGGTTTATAAATGAGCATTATAGTTTAGAGTTTATAATTAAACAAGATTATTTATCAGTTTGAGTTTATAAAAGAGGAGAAGGATTTAGGTTTTACAATTAAACAAGGTTATTTATCAGTTGGGGTTCATAACAGAGAATTAGGATTTATATTTAAAAACTAAATGAGATTATGAGTTTAACTAAATATATATTTTTATGAATGATTTTAATTTATAATATATTATATTTGTTTGAATTTTAATTTATGTATGAATGTAATATGCCATTGAGCAATTTCATTGTCTAAAACATTAGGGTGAATAATAGATTTTCGAAAATATTTTTGTAGCTTAAATTAAAAATAACTAAAGTTCATTATAATTCCTAATATAGTGATTTTAAATATATATTTTACATATGTAGGTTTTTATAATTCGTATTTGAAAGATTTCTTAATGTTTTCCTCAACGATGCTATAATTTATTTTGATTTTTTTTTTTATGTTTATTTGTGTTTTTATATGAAATTTTTACAAATGACTGTATTTGTATTTAACATCATATTTTATATTGATGTTAATTTGAAAGAACTTTACCATCATATTAAATCATAATTAATTAATTTTCATTTTCTGAGAATGATTTTTTGAAAAATTGAAAGTAAAGACATAACAATTTTTACAAAATGGTATAATCATTTTTAGGGGATAATTGCTTAATTAAGATTTTTAATATTTTAGCAATATTATGAATAATGGTGAATAGCTCCCAAATGTTTTGGTGATTGCCAGTTTGGCGTTACTAGATTTTTATAATTAACCTTTAATAACGAATTTAAGATATATATACATACACACATTTATTATATTCTTCAAACCAAACAAAATCTCATTAGTCGACAAAAAAAAAAAAAAAATTCTCTTTCCATGTGAAAATAATTTCTCATATTTCAAGTAAAGACTAAACTAGTGATATATATATAACTTCCATTCATATAGATTATATTTTTTTTTGTGTGAACCACTTCCGTTCATATAGATAAAAACGAAGTAAACTAAACAAAATTCCTAAAAGGACAAGGAGTAAGATAAAGAAGAGCTCGTAAATTTATATAAATAGGGCACATACGTAACTTCTTTTCATCACGCACACATCAAATTCCTCCATGGCCCGTCTCATCAGATTCCTCCATGTAACGCCCCGACCGCCATCTCTCCAGGGATTCATGTTCACTACCAGCCCATGGATTCACCTCTCTTAATGGGCCTCACATCTTCTCACTAGACCCATCAGCCTATCAATATCCGTCGGTCGGTTTGCTACGTCCGAGATGTTTAAATACTTGTTTACCGACCTTACAAATAACCACATGATCTTTCTCTGTGTTTTGGCCTCACTCAAACAGTTCCGACAATCACTTCCCGGAAGGTTACCCATCTTTGACTACTACAGCATAAACACGTTTAACTATGGAGCTCTCTCATGACCTTTGACCATAAGTGCACTTTTTGTGACATATGTGGCCAAATCAATTCATTTAAACCTCTACGCATACAGGGGTCTCACACTCCACCACCACCACCACCACCACCACCACCGAGCAAGATCCTTCCTCTAGTAGGATGTACGCGGGCGGTGACTCAAGCGGATGGAGCGTATACAACAGTTATTACTATGAAAAGTGGAGTGAAGATAGACAATTTTGTGTTGGAGATACTCTCTTTTTCGAATACAACAAGCACATCAACGACGTTAGAGAAGTCAGCAATGAACTTGACTTCGAATCTTGCACGCCAACTTCTACTGTAGCCTTGGACAATACCGGACACGATCTAGTTAGACTCACCAGACCAGGAGTGCATGACTTTGTAAACTTAAAGACCGGTCTTTCTCATGCTGGGATCAAGCTTCGAATCACGGTGCAACCATCAACCGAAAACGTTACTTTGCCGGATGCTCCCAAGAAGCTGTCTCCTATTGACTACCTCAACAGGTGGTGGTTACGTTTTTTCAGACCTCATCACTAGGTAGCCAACCATTGAGATTATTTAAGGTTTTTTTGGTTTTTTGGTTTTCTTTTTTTTTTGCGTTTAATTGGATTTTGTCACATGTTTTTCTTAAATTTCCATATGTTTCTATTTAATATATTTTGATAATGAGAATGCCCATAAATTCATAAACATGAACACATCGGATGTGACATATATTTCATGCCCCATGTGTTAGATTCTGAGCAGCAACTAAAACCCTAGTATAAACAAGAGCAAGATCTATCCTTTTGTAGCTTTCTTGTCAGCCAAGTAACTGACTTTTCATGCCCTATTACTCAATGAAGTTTAGGGTACTTGAAAAGTCAGTTACTTGGTTAATAAATAAGAAAGTAAATTGAGTAATTTATTCTCGGAGGGTACTTGGAAAAGAACATAGAAATTATATATATATATATATGTATAAAATTTTTTTCGACATCACATAGAAATTAGATTGGATTCAATAAAAAGATGATGTGTATATATATAAATAGAGAGAGAGGGAGAGAGATAGATGAAAGCTTTGGAGATACGAGAAGAGACACATTGCGACATGAGTAAACAAGAGACTAAAACTTAATTACGGAAAGGAATATGTTAATTAATCATCATTGCTCATCTCTCCACCATTGCCTCTCTATATGCAATTCATGCGCCTATCTCAAGCTCTTCTCTTGTTTTTGTTGTTGACTCAAAAGGCTATGGTAATTTCAGCATTGTTCAAAGAGCTGTTAGTGTTGTCCCTGATTCAGTCAAGTAGACGACTCTTATCATTGTCAAATCGGGTCATTACAAAAAAAAACATAGCTTATTTCTGACCATGGTTATTGTTGGAACTTCGTCCGAAACGGTCATTTCCGACTAAATTCCGACGAAATATTTTCCTCGTAAGTAATTGGTCGGAGCAAGATTTCGTCGGAAAATCGTCGAAAAAATTTAAATATTATATTATATTTAATATGAAATTAAAAAACCTAAAAATAAAATTTAACTGAAATTATAATTTAAACTTCAAAAGTTCAAAAAAATAAAAATCATCCAAGAGAAATACAATCTAGTAAAAGGCAATTTAAAACATCAAATTCGATGTTTATGTTTTGAAAGAATAGTTAACATAATTTGACGTTTTAAATGACATTAGAAAATTCATAGTTTAATTAACGCTTTTGAGGAAAATCATGGTTCAAATGATATTGTTGACATTCATAAAAAGTATCTAATGAATTATGAGTTCAATACATCCTGTTTAGCAGAAAGACGGATATTCCTTGCTCATTATCAGACAATCACTTATGTTTTCTCAATTTATATATATTTGCAAACGTGAAACTTCATTATTACAAAAATATAATCCATAAATGTAACTAAAACCGCAAAAATATTTTTTGAAAAATAAGTTCCTTTGGATATCGCATAACTCATAATCTAGTAACTACACAAATCATCATATAACAACATAAGCCATTTTTTAAGGGGGTTGGGCGACTCTTTTGAAAAAAAAATATTATAATTATTTATAATTTAAAAGGGTAGAAATATAAATTAAAACAATAATTAGAAATTGAATTTTTGGATTAGATCTACCATTTTCTCCATGAAGTTTTGTAAAAGTTCATTAATAGTTTTTTAACCAGTTACAGTCGCAAGTTGAGGATTAATGATGGTTTTGTGTCGCCACTGATTTCGGTGACTCCGAAATCATCACAAAAGAGTCGGAAATCATCACAAAAGAGTCGCACAACTGAAAGTGAAGTAGAAAAGAGGAAGAAATCAAAAAGAGATGAGTATTGTTTATTGGTCGCGAGTCGCTGCAGCTGCGATTATGCCCCGAACAAAACCATAATTAAAAATTATTAATGAATGCCATCAACCAATACTTCAATTACCATGGAAAAAATCCTTCCAAGATTATTTTCATTGTCAAGACAAAAAAAAAACACATAACATGTATTATTTAGCCGTTAGGAAATTTAAACTAGCATAAAGTTTATTTTAAAAATGATTTCACTTTTGAAAAAATAAAAGTTCCGAAGGACTAATTTTTTATATAAATTATATTATTCATCCACTCATCTGTCTACCATCCACGTATAACGGCTCTCTTTTGCCAACTGTGGAATATTTTCAAAATGCAACACTTTCCTTAAATTTACAGTTCACCCCAAAACTCCTTAAAAGTAATCAATCTAATCCAAAATCTCGTCCTCCAGTATCTTATTCAGGGACCAATATGTAAATAACAAAAGTAAGTAGTCATATAAAGTTATACTAAAAAATTAAAAGGGGCTGTGTCTGTCTCTATTCTTCTCTCTAATAACATTTTGAACTTTTGAATTTTTTTCTTCATTCTCTCTCATTCCTTCAAAAAAAAAACAAAAAGCTCTCTTCATCTTCTTCCCCAAAGCGTCGTCTTGCTTCAAATTTCTTCAGCAAATGGGTTGCTGTCTCAGCAAAACTCCTCCTCCGTCTTCTTCTCCTCCTCCTCCTCCGGTTAACGGATCTTGTTCGGTTAAATCACCAGATCTTGTTGATAGACTTCCTCTGAAACTCGAAGCGAAGGAGAAGAAGGTTGAAGTAGAAGAATCGAAACCAAAGAATGAAGAAGAAGAAGAAGAAGCAGAGGTGAAAGATAATAGCAAACAGAGGAAAGAAGTGTTTGTTATTAAACATCGGAGAAGCCATGAGAAATCATCGAAGACGACGACGGGGACAGATCCGGAGGAATCTTCGGTTTCCGATGTGAAATCGACCGGTTCGAATCCGGTTGACGTGGATGCGATTTTGATCCAGTGTGGGAGATTAAGCCGGAGCAACTCAGGAGCTGCGAAAACTCGGAGATACTCTGGATCTAAGAGGAGTTTCGATTTTGATCAGAGTGAACGGAGCCGCGACGGTGGTGACGCGGATGCTGAAGACGAAGAAGCTGAGAGGCGGATTCATCGTCAGCGTCACCGTGGTGGTGGTGAATCGCCACGGGAACGGAGGAGACGAACTCCGAGTAGAGAGAGGGATGATTCGAAGAGTTATAGATCGGGGAGTAGAGAGAGAGGAAGTGGTAACGGCGGCGGTGGTGGTGGTAGTAGACGGGTGAGTAGATCTCCGGCGAGAAGATCGGAGATAAACCCTAATTCGAGTGGCAATTCTGTGAATTCGAGTAATAATAATAATAAACCTGGGAAATTTGTATCTGTTCCTGCTACGGATAAGGCTTTAAGTAACAATGGAGATGGATCTGTGAAACGTGTTGCTGTGAAGAGAAATGTTGGTAAAGCTGCGTCTCCGAGGTCTCAGTCGCCGGCGAGAGCGGCGAGCCAGCCTTCTCCGTCGAAGCTTAGCCGGAAAACGGAGTTGTCTCCTTATAGGAGGAATCCATTGGGAGAGATTGATACAAACTCTGTGGCAGGTAACACCAATTGCAACAAAAGGATGAACAGAGACATTGAAATGAATAAAGATTCTTGCAATTTCGTGGCTCAGGTAATTGAATCTAATTGGAATTAAGAGATTTGAATGTTTGTTGTGCTTTTGAAGTTGTGTAATTGTTGTGGTGAATGTTTTGTGTGTTTTCAGAAGATGAATCCCAAAATCGCTACACAAGCGCCGATTCGGAGAAGCGCAAGCCCGATACGTGCAATGAAAGAGCAGCAAGAGATAGTGGAAGAGTGTAAGGTTGAATTGGTTAAGCCTCAAATTATGAGTAGAAGCAGATCCTTAAGGAAGTCTCGTGATTTCGATTTCAGTCCTGATGCATTGCTCTCTAGCAACATTGATAACAACAACATTAATAGTAACAATGCGACGGCTGGATCAACATTACCATCTTACACAGCTTTGCTTTTAGAGGACATTCAGAATTTTCATCAGAAGAGTGTTAATGTTAATACTCTAAGTTCATCTATGTCCAAGGCTTGTTCTATTGTAGAAGCAGTTGCTGATCTTAACTCCACTACAAATCAACACCAAAGAACCGAGATCAGTTTCACATCGGGAGCAGCGAAGAAAGCGGATTTAATGGAGCCGAGTTTCGAGAAGTATGTGACTGTTAAGCGAGGTGGTTCTTCGTTAGAGGATATGGAAGAGCAAGAATCATCAGGAAGCAATAGTATCACGGGAAGCAGCTGCGTGATGCAGCGACAAGGATACTCATCGTCTTCTTCGTGGGAACCGAACTCAGCTGAGTCGACAGATCGAATGAGTATGAGATCAAACAAACAAGAACGTGATCGTAGTCCACTTGGTGTGAGTATTGAGAAACAAGAGTTTGATCCGTTGAAGAAGAATGGTGTTGGAGTTGGACGCAAAAGAGTAGCTGTTGTTGATTCTTCTTCTTCTTCTACAGGGAAAGGTGTTGTTCTACATGCAACAACAACAACTCGTGTTGCTGCAGTTTCAGTGTAATGAAATAATGAATTCGATTGTTTCTTTTTCCCTTACTTGGTTGCAAGAGTTTTAGCAACTGGTGTGTTTGGTTTCTTTTGTAATCATTTGATCATTTCAATCGAGTATTCCTTCTTTATGGATTTTTAAATGCTCAGATACATAACAAAACTATAATTCAATCATATCACAAATGCATCAAAAATACAAACATACATAAAACAAAAGCAAACTTTATAATTCAATCACACTTAGATAGATTATGTACAAAAACATGTACGGTGGCCTGATTGCCTCAAACATGTACTCTTGATTTTCTTCCTTTGTCTGATCTCAGATACGATGATGCCTGAGAGCGGTTGGTTTTTTCTAGCATTTGTCCGACGTTCCTCATTTTTGGTCTGTCTGAAGGATTATATTCAACACATCCTAGACCAATGCTAATGCAAATCAAGATATCTTCCCTATCACGTATTTCTAAGTTTAAGTCCTCTGGTTTCAGTGGTTTTTTCTCCTTGTACATCCTCTTTGCCTTCACGGAAAAAAATTATTAGCGCGATAAACGAATTAAGTATTGGTTGATATGAGATTATTTTGTTTGAGTAACTTACATAGGTTATAAGATCTTCCCCTCTCTCTCCCATTTTCGAATTCCACATACGCTTACCACTCAAGATTTCAAGAACCAACACACCAAAACTATAAACATCTGTCTTAAACGAGATTTGTCCTTCGTTACGAAACTCTGGAGCAATATAGCCTCTGTAAAAAAATTGATCATATAACATTAGTCACATAAACTTCATTCTTAATGTATACTACACGCAGTTCATGAGAAAACCTTAGGCATATACTTACTCAGTCGCCATGATGTTTTTCGTAAACTGTTTGCTTATTTGGCTCTCATCGAACAACTTAGCCAAACCAAAGTCAGATATTTTTGGTGTCATATCCTTGTCTAGCAATACATTTCCTGGTTTAAGATCGCGGTGAATTATATGTGCATGGCAATCTTGATGAAGGTAAAGAATTCCTCGGGCAACACCTTCTATGATTCCGTAGCGTGTTGACCATCCCAACACCTTATCTATATATGTACCAAGTATAAAGATTCTTTAGACCGTTGCAAAGATTTAGCAAATGGGATTAAGAAAAGAAGCTGGAGAGTACCGAAGATGAAGTTGTCGAGACTTCGGTTGGGTAGGTACTCATAGATGAGAGCCCTTTCATTGTTCTCAACTGAGAAGCCAACAAGTCTGACAAGATTACGGTGTGAAAGGTTTGCCATGGACAAAACCTCGTTTTTAAACTGAATTTCGCCTTGTTGTGCATTATCGGACAACCTTTTCACTGCTACTTCTTGTCCATTAAGTACACCCTGTAAGAAAAATTTTAGAGTACATTGTTATGCCAAGTTGAAGTAGTTGCTTAAAACTAATAAACTTTTAAGTCATAAATAAATCAAACAACTAATGTGGGTTATCAGACATCATCCACTTGTAGTTGACTTGTTTTTTTTTTTTTTTAGAAATTCTGACAAATAGTAGGCCTCGGCATTCAGGTTTTCGGGTCGGGTTCGGGTTATATAGGTTTAGAAAAAATAGAATCCATTGGGTAATTTTAGACTTGTGGTTCGGTTTCGGTTTGGGTATTTTCGGGTTCGGGTCGATTTGGGTTACAAATTTCAGAACCCGATTACTACCCAAATTACCGGGTACCCAAATTACCGGGTACCCAAATTACCGGGTACCCAAAAAAAACCCTTTAAAAATTATATTAAACTAAACAAGTTTAGCTAAATTTTGACATATGTAACAAATAAATTTGAGATATTTTGATTATTATGGGTATTTAGGTGTAAATCTAATTGATATATTTAAAATTATAATTATAATATTGGATAATTAAATGCTATTAATGTTAATATTAATAATATTTTAAATATTTGTATATTGTTTAGGTTTTATGGGTACCCATTCGAGTAACGGGTATTACCCTAACCCTAACCCGAACCCGAACCCACAAGTTTACCAATATAAAACCCAATAAGAATATTTAGTCATACCCGTACCCTACCCAAACCGGTTTTTTCGGGTCGGGTTCCGGGTTGGGTATTTGTGTTCGGTTTTTTTTCCCAGCCCTAAAATTTAGCATATCATCTCTAAAGTTCCTAAAAAACACCATATTACAAAATTAAATTTTCAAAACTAATTCTTGAACTCTAAACAAACACTAAAACTATATCCCAAATGTAAAATATTTAATCTAAACCTTTTAACAGAATTCTAAAAATAATTTCTTTGCAATTGTGTGTGCTATTTTAAAGAATTTGTGGAGTGTGTTATATAATTGTCCATAAAAATTGTTTTCTCTGCTATTTTAGGGTATTTTTTCTTTTTCCTAATGTAGAAAATCTCAAGCAAAAACCTATTAACCCAATCTTTTGAATCCATAGAAATCTGAATTTTCTTCCCACTAAAATCTTTTACTGGTGACCAACCTGCGAGGCATGATATTTGTCCTAAAACACCAAAGAGAAACCGATATAGCTTAGGTCTATCACACCTAGACATACCTGAAAACTCCATAATCTCAACTAAAGCCACCAACTTATATATATATCACACCTTGGTTCACTTCTAACTTCTAAGATAGATATGCTTCTTCTTCTTTTTTTTTGTTTTGTGTAAATATTTGACATAATGAGTTGTAAAATTACCTTATAAACTTTCCCAAATCCACCTTCTCCGAGTTCATTTTTAGGTGAGAAATTGTTGGTTGCACTTCTTACTGCACTGAATTCAAATTTTAAGGAATCTTTCCTCATTTCGTCTGTACACCACAATAGTTAATGTCAGGATGGTGTGCCCTTTTCAGTTATATATACATATGTGTGTGCAACTTACTTTGGTGGTTGTGCTTCTTTTTCCTTAGAATCAAGACAATAACAAGGCATGATGCGATCAATATGACAACACCGCCAATAACAATCATAACTATAAAGACCACACCTTTAGTGTCATCTATAACAAAACCTTTTTCCTCTCTCACTCTCTCATTCGAAGGAGGAGGAGGGGGAGATGGAAGATGGGCTGGCGGTGTGGCCCGAGATGGCTCCTCGGCTGTCAGATCATAGAACCGTGAGGTATGGTACCTCAAACCGCAGCTGACGCTCACCTGCTCGCAACCCATTTTTGTATTACAACGAATCGGAATACGACCTATATTCCTCGTAAGACAGTCAATGCAGTCACGTTCCGAAATATCGGGCGTGCACTGCATTAGACCGTACAACGTCTGAAGCGAGGGGCCACTCTTTTTTGAGACGGCGAACTTCTTCCTCGACCCACCCGAAGCTGCTCTACTCATTAATTCTTCTAGTAGATCCTTTAGCATGTTATCCCATGCGTCTTTTTCACCGGGGAAATCGAAATCCGAGGCCAAATAAAATCCAGGGGATGTCTCCATCGTGTTCAATAAAGTGTGGTTTGAGTACCTAAATATAGGTGGGGTTGATTCAAATTAGTATTGTAAGTGATTTAAGTTTTTATATGATTTTGATGATTTAAAGAAAAGTTCATATGATGATTTCTTGTAAAATCCTTTTTTTTTTTTTAAATAATCAAAGAGGTTCTGGGCCGAAGAACATACATCTCCTCAGGTCCGAAACCAAAGCATGTTATATGGTTTCGTCCCAAGCGCTACTCGAACCGGCGACATCTGAATTTTTACCAGAGATCTTTACCAATTGAGCCATTAGCACTTGGTGTAAAATCCTTTAACCATATATAAGATTTAGATTTCTGTATTTTTAACTAAGAAAATCCTCTGATCACATCCTTCAAAATGATTAAAAATCAAATTCACAAAATGTTTTCAATAACAATGGATTTTAAGGTTGATTTCTAAATCATTAGTTCAATAACATTGAATTTCATTATAATTTTCAAAATCTATGACTGAATTTGTAAGTTTTATATAAATCACTTAAAATTCTAGCTAGTAATGCACCCCCTATATGTTTTTCAGTAACCTATAAATGAACTGGATCTAAACATATGTCAATCCAAAAACATATGGTAAGGTTTGAGTACCTGAGCATACAAAGGTCGTACCATATGTTTGCTTCTTTCTCGTTCGGACATCGTTCCCTAATTTCTTGCCCGGCTCTAATAATGCATCCAATGCAGTCAGTTGGTTTCACGTCACCTCTACACAACATCAAAGAGTTCACTTTCTCATTATCAGTTTCTCCAACGGAAACGTTGTAAAATCCATCTTCGTTCTGCGGAAGAGACGAGAGGGAGGAGATGAATGAGTTGAGGTTAACTTCATAGCTGCTGTTGACGGTGAAGTTCCCTCCCACTGTTTGGCAAGAATAGTAGCGAAATCGATTTTCTAATTGAGATTGTACGGAGAGTAGTAGCGATGAGATCAACAAAGCTGACAATAGAACAAGACATTGCCAAGTACTAAATGACTTAGGCATAACATAACTCATTGTAATCTCTCTCTCTCTCACTTTTTGTTTATCTTCTTACTCTCTTGCTTTATTTCATGGCTATGATTGTAGCATTTATATAGGGCAATTAGATACAAACAAAACATATTGTAATTATTGTAAATGGTGGGATTGTCCGTTGACATTTTTACCGCGGACTGATTCTGTCTATATAATTTTTTAAACCAATCGACTTTGTATATTAAGGTTAAATACGTACCTTTACCAAATCAATGGTGAATAGAGGCCAAGGAAACTTCTATACCGGTCCAAGTTCCGCTAGGATCCGTGTACAATGTGTGTATAACATGAAGTCAACTTGGTAATAGAAATTCCAAAGTAGGAGCAAGGCAAATGTGTAGTAAGTACTAAGTAAGGGTCGAACCTCAAAGAACTAACGATATAGCGACACTAAAGAATTCAAAATGCTTAGCAAATGACTCGAGGGTTAACCTATTGTCGAACCTCAAAGAACTAACGATATAGCGACACTAAGGAATTCAAAATGCTTAGCAAATGACTCGAGGGTTAACCTATTAATGCATGATGCTCATAAAACTAGTAAATGCTAATCTTTAGGTCTATATCACTTAAATTAGATGAATTCACTTTGATGACCAGCTAAATTCTCGTCGATTGTAGTTAGATAATGAATGCATTAAACTCGATTCTAGATAACCACTAAGACCATCATTATCAATGCGCTCTTAGGGTACTTCTTAGCCTTAAGATTTGTTAAGACTGACTTTTATATTAGAGTAATTCTTAACAAATCTTAAGGCTAATCATCAATTTCCATCTGTTATGAGACACATACTATCCAGATTTTACTTGATCAAGAAAATGATTAGTAAAAAAGAAGACCAAATTTCATTAAACTCAAACAATGTTCTTCCACTCGTATAAGTATTTTCAGGATACTTCTTATTCAACGGTTCAATATTTCTGAGTATTTTCAGTTAATGTTTCTTCTTCTCAGACCGGATCATGTTTGAGTTTATAAGGTTTAAAACATCAACCATGTTAAATTTTTGTGCTAACAATTTTTATATATCATGAAATGGTACCTATCTCAAGTGAACCATCAAATACTATATGTATGGTGGTTTAGTTTATTGTTGTAGTCAGCAAGTGACATAACATAAACCATATTTATTTCACGTTTGATTTAGAGCAGTCGATTGTTTGTATTCTATATCAATAAGCATTATATTCTTGCGTAAACAGTAAAAAAAAAAACAACGACTTAATCAGAGAGACGTATAATCATAAATCATAAGTTTATGCCAAATTGAAGATTTAAAAATGTTCTATCCATATCATCTCCCACAAATAATGTAAAGATTATAGATATCAGAATATTAATTATATAATTATAAATAATCATATCTTCATTAGTTTACAACTTCCACAATAAAACATAAGAAAATGTTTTGGTTTATGGAATCTGAGTGGCTCTCTTCCATATTGAGCAAGTGGTGCAAGCTCCCTCTTAGAAGCATCGCATAGCAAAATAAAACCATCCACAACCTTACCATAATCTTTTGCCAGCAGCTTAACTTTCTCTAGGAATCCTTTAGTCTGTAAGCTGCCTTACAAATATGTTAAGGGAAAAAAGAATACTTAAACTGATTCATAGTGAAGTATGCGCTGCAAATCTCCCATGCAAAAGCTATCCAAGAGTACCAGCTGGTACTTACTCACATGTACTCAGGCCCGGCCCGTGACCCATTTTTTTGAAACATTCGTATTGGGCCTCCAGATTTTTGACATCTTTAGTAAGAAAATAGGCCCAAAACATATTTTGGTTTTGCAAAATTAGGCCCCATATTTTACAAAATTTAAATTCTGTTTTCCATGTTTAAAATTTATCTATTTATTATTTCAAAAATAGGCCTCATTTTCTGAAATTTTAAGCTCCGGTCTCAACTTATAAATTTTATCTATAAAACTTCTGAAAAAAAAAATTATTTTGTATTAGACCACATATGTGACAGGGCCGGCACTGCATGTACTGATGATGCAACTAGAATGGTGTGGAGTTAACTAATGGAGACATGGAGGTATATTGAAATAGTCTTTACGAATAGATTTTTGTTTATACAGTTTTTCTTTTACTCTCTAGCTAGTGGCACTAATACTCTTCCAAGCAAACATAAAACATAGAAAGTTGCTAAGCCAGATGATTCCTTAAAATGATTAATACTCAAAAAACAATAAAATACCAACACCTCATAAGGTTCATAACCATAATACTTTGCTGTCCACTCTTTAATTATAACCATAACTTCAAACTCACAAACCCTTCCACAACTAGAGTGACATATCTCTGTCGAGGTTGATAAAATTCATTTGGAAGCGTATAAATTTGTATAACATATGAAATAGACTACATTATATAAAATCAGTTTATTTTTTATTCTCGGTTACAATTGGTTTATAAGAATTTATTTCTATTTTTCCATTAATTAATTTATCTCTTTTAGATATTTCCAGGACCTCCAAAATATATGATATGTTTGCTTGGAAAATATGAGTATACACCATACCTACCATTTATCACATTATAACCATGATAATTATCTCTAAATATCTCTGTATTATTTACCCACTTATCAATAATATAATTTTCGTCAAATGTAGTTATGTTAAAGATAATTGCATCGAAAGCTGGATGTTTATCCGGAAAATGACCGTTTCCCATCTGAGGACTCGGCATAAATGCACTATATACTTCTCCTCCCCATTCAATCTTTATAGCATAGCTGTGTTGAAATCTAATTGCCGGCCAAAACCCAATTTCTACTCCTTTGAATTCGAGCCACCAATTACCATTTATCTTGTCCTTTAATCAATAGTCACATTAAAATAATATATATTAATTATCATGTAGTCATAAATGAAACATATTATATACATTTATTAATTAAAAAAAGCTATTGAAAATCCAACAAAAAATGAAAATTGTTCGATTTTTAATAGTGCGATATTTAATACATATCAATTTTACTCAAGTATTCGCATACCTTTAGTAAGCCAAATGTATCATATGAACCTGTTTTAGAGCCACGAACACAAGGAGGACCTAGAATCGAACCAAGAGGAAAATCTGAACGGACTGATATGATCCCAATTGAACACATTTGATTATAACACTGATTATCACCAGCCTATACAATTATATATATTTAGTTATGGCTTCTCGATTGATAAAGTACATCGAAAACATTTTCGAAAAATATAATGAGATAGTTAAGCCTATATACGTCAATGATAAACTTACTTTTGTGTACACAAAACTTCGAGTTTTACTGTCATGATATAACTTCGGATTTACCTAAAATGTAAATATGTTTTGAATAATCATATTAAAACAAATATTTAAAATTGTAAACGTTTGAAAATAGTATATAGGTTATATATTAAAATTTTATAAAAGATATATGATAACAAACTTACGATCCAACCGATTTGAATGAAATCATCTCCAAACTGAACATGCATACGAGAAGAACTAGTTTGCCCATATTTAACTTTAGGATCATTTATAGAAACTACCATTGTTGCTCCAGTGTACCTTTTCCTTTTTCTTTCCTTGGTACGAGACACCGCAAACTAATCATTATCATAATTCATAATCAAAATTTGCTTATAACTTATAGGATTACCTTACATTTTTTTTTTCAAAGAACAATAAAAATAATACTTACATGGTGTTGATCATTACCAACATTAATTTGATTATTGCTGGAATTCCAAGAACCTCGAGGTTTAGAGAATGAACTTAATCTTAGAAATTCATCTTTAGTAACTATGTTTATGGGTACTGTTCCATTGGGGCAGCCTATGCCATTTTCCCACAAGAAACCAAAATTTTCATTACTTGTTCTTTTTGAGGATGATGCTCGACGCAACTACAGTTGAAGATAAATGTTTTATTAATGATTCATTGGAAAATAAAACAAAAATCTTTATTAGTGACAATAATAATGGGAAAAATTCACAAACAAATTATACAATATATACTTTATAATTGAATAAGTGTTTTTTCATCGATGGATGATCAAATGCTGGTTGTTTATAAAAATCCACACATTCGTATGTATCGCCATGTGTAGTCTATCATAAGAAAAACAAAATAATTTAGAAAAATACTTGGTTAATATTATTATATGTAGTGGTGTAATAATTAATGATCATTCATCAACATGGGAAACCAAAACAATTTAAACTTCAATCGAATAAATAAAAATGAATAGATAAATCTAAAACACTTTGAAGATTAAACTATACGAACTTTGATGATTTTGGCCTGAGGTTTTTCGAAATCGCTAAAATTTTCTACTCTTTCTGCATCCACAAAATGATTATTGACGTTCACCATATTTCCAAAATACACAATATAACCTAACAAGATTAATATCATCTTCACACTATCTAATTTCATATTCATTAAGAAGATACTTATGGTGAGAATCAAAGAGTAAAGAAGATTTATGTAATAATATATAATAATATTAAAATAAATAAGACAAAAAGAGAAATACCATTATTACATTAATGTTTACTAGATATGTGTGACTACTTTTTCATCAGAATGTTGCTTAATTAATTCACCTATATGATATTTATTTATTAATGTGATATGGTAAATTATTACCACCATTTTAGTTGATCTATTTATATGTATCTTTGTAGGTGCAAATTTGGGATAAATTTAGCTTGACTTGGCTATATGGTGTTAAATATTATTATAATATCATTTAATTAAGAGATTTAGAATAGGTCATATTTAATTAAAAGTTTAGATATTTTTCTAACAATTATAAATGCTTAGATTACTTATTAAATTTAATTTAGTTATTGGAGGAAAAAAACTTTGATTAAATTCGTGCACCACTTGAGACAAATCTCCACGAATTAAAGAGATTAGTTGGTTAGTTATGAGTATCAGTATCTCAGTTTTCCTGAACCACGAAGATCAAGCTCCTTGGATCATGAAATTATATTTTGATATGAAAGAAATCATGTTCAAATCGTTCGACTATTATGATACACTTGTCATATCCTTCGACTCTAACTCAAAGAATTGTAGGTTGACATTTTGACTTGTAGCAGAGAGTCAGTTTTAAAACTTCTGAGTTATTTTCAGAAGTCATATATGAGGCTTGATTTCGTTTATAAAATGAGATGATCAAGCATGTATAATAATCATATTTCTTTTCTTTGTTTTTGGATCTTATGTTTGTTTTGATTTTCATCATTGTTTTCAGATTGTTTAGTAGAACCATTCTAGAAACTTAAATTCTTAAGATTAAGATGTATAAAAGCAAACTTCTTTTATTAGCCTTTGAAACTTACTCAAAACAAAAGCTCTTAATCTCTCTCTCAATTCTCTTAAAGGCAAACCACAACTTGGTTACTCTTTATATATTGAGAGGGCTCTCCTAATCCTATTTGTATTTAGACATCTCCTAAATACTAATCATAACTCGGCTAGGATTAGATAACTTACTTCCTAAGCTAACTTCTTATTCAAGCTTATCCCAACAACCATGGTTCAAATCCTCCTACAAAAAAAGGAAATTTCATCTACTTTTTTAAAAAATGACCGTTGATATTCTTAGAGATCATTGTTTTCAATTTCTCCCCCATAACAAGTTAAAATCTTTCATCTGGTTCTCTAACTGAATTTGAGGATGGTGAACGTTCAATAATGATGAGGATGGGGAACATTTAGATAATTTACTCAACACGTCTCAAATAAAAGTGTAGCTGACATGAATAATCAACTGATGATTAAACTGTATGTTAGTCTTCTAAAAAGATTCTCTGATAGAAATCTTATACCAAAAATATAATTTTTTGAAACATTGAGCTAAAAATGTAAAAATTGGTGTCACGATCAACATCTCCAATAAATTATCTTATATATGTATGGTACTAGAACAAAAATCCACTGTTGTTTGCACAAATAAAGAACAAAACTTTATTGTTAGGAGAGTAAGATCTTCATCGTTGGCGGGAAAAAATAGGATTATATAGAGTCAAAATATATACTCAATCGTTTCATGAAAGAATTAGAAGAAAAAATCACAAAAATGTATGTATCCAAATTTTAATATACACACCAAAAATTGGACACAAACATGTATATAATTCTTGTTTATCTCCATTTTTCCATGAGATTATCAAGTTTTTTTTTACTTTTGTGAATTCTAGTTTGTTTCAATCGATAAAGATCTTAATCCCCTAGCAATATGATTTTGTTGGAAACGCTTAACCAAAAGTATGGATCACCCTACATTGGAGGAGTTGATTGAGACAACAAAACCTTCACATTACATACAGCATTTTAAAAATTCACATGTTATTCTCAATTATTTTTTCCTTCAAATTCTTTCATGAGATGATCAAAGAAAAATTTTTAGTTGATTTTCACTACAAAATACTTTTTTTTGCGAAAACGATTAAAATCATAAAATCCTTACAAAATCATAATTTCTTGCTAGATGACTTACGTAAAATTCCTAATCTCAAATTAGAACTTAATCCAATATTGAATAACTGAAGCAGTTTATTTTGCCTTTTTATTTATTATTGTTCTCAATTACATGAAAATGTAACCTATAGGTACAATTAATATAAATTGATGTCAAAAATATAAATAAACGATTTGGAAGGCTTTTTTTTTCTCTTTCAATTCTAATGTTTGATTCCACAAATTACTGTATTTAATTATCATCAACTTAAAACGTAGTGCTTACAGGAGATGATGCACTCTTCAGTTTTGGGCTACAGGCTATGGATGTTTTCACCTGGTTTTAATTCTATGCACTCGGCTGTACCAAATTGAATGCAATACCATATGGAAGAGATCGAACTTCACAGGTTTCTTGTGCCACAGGAAATGTTGCTGCACTGCCTTTACCCTTGCTTGCATGCCAATATATCTCTCTTCCGGTATCGACAGCAGAATGTTTCTCAGATTCGGGATATCTTTCTCCTCAACAAACACCGCAAATTCCTCCCAGTTCAAAACTTCGAAAAAGGGAGGCACGTAGTTGTCAGCAATGATAACCGGAACACACTCATTAATGATAGCTTCCACAACCCTAGGGGTGTGGACTTCATAACCTCTCGCGCATATGCAGTACCTGTCGAAATGAGAATCGAACTTCTAAGACAACATATCGTTGTAATGGTAAGCTATGGTTTACAGTTTTGGTTTTCTTTGTTTAGTAGAAAATGACAGACGAAATAAGCAAACAAAAAAGGCGCCTTACCGGCTGCTTTTCATGTATTCACGGTATTTTTTCTTGCTTTCGGGGTCACGAGGCATTGGACCGAAGATCTTCATGTCAGGTTCTTTGTTCTCCCAAAGCTGAACAAGGATAGGACGGAGATATCCATGCATACTTCCAGCAAAGAACGCAAGAATCTTCCTTTCGGACGGAGTTTTACCACCTAGGTACTCAAGAGGGGACTGAGCAGAGCGTATATATGTGACTGGTAAAGCTGTATCAGTCCCAATTCTAAAGCCTTGTGCAACATTTGAGTTACAAAGTGCTCTAACACTGTTCTTCATGCTTTTCTTTGTTAGTTTATTCCCCTGCCAGTAGCACAAAAACAGTTTCTTATTGATGTATGTATAAGACAAAAAGAAAGACAGAAAGAATAAAATTAGTACCCAATCATGACAAGCAACAAGAAAATGATCAGCTCCACCAGTTCGGTTCCAAAACTTATACTTTCCGGCTATCAAATCGACATATTCCTTCAAATGGTCCGCAAGGCTCCTTGGTGTTTGAAACTCCTTTCCCAGAGAGGACCTAAGAGATTTTATACTGATTGGTATATAGAACAAATGAGCCTTTCTTGGGTCTCTTACTACAAACTTCTTGTTGCTTTCCATAAGTTTCATGAACCAACCTTCTGATGCATAAATCCCTCGAGTCATTGCGTTATGAAATATTGGTTTCTCTCCTTCTTTATACACATAAACTCTCAGTTTCCTCTCCATCAAGTCATAACTCCTAAATAAGCAACATATCGAATCTTGAATTTAGCTAACGAACAGTCTCTAAGTCTATAGATTTTACTACAAGAATAGGGGCTAACCTTTGAAACTTGGAGATATTTCGATAAACCGAGGCGCTAAGTCCAAGATTGTCATGCACAAAAGAGGCTTTCTCAATCTCGAATCTCGCAGAAACCATTTCGGAGTCTCGAGCTGATGACCACCGAGGCTTCTACACAAACAAAAGGCCAATACAAATTGTGAATGTAAGATAATACCCTTAAACAGTTTCTTGAAACCTAAAATGAAAATTCAAGAATCAAAAACTCTTACAGGAGATTTAAAAGAAGCAAAACTCTGGTTCAGCAATGAGTTCATCTGAGATATCGAAACCACAGCCACACTCCTATGCCTCCTTGTAATCAAAACATCACTTTTCCTAATATCTTTACTCCTAACTAAAACAGAATCTGGATCTGATGATACTGAGCTCTCGACCACCATATTAGTCTTCCTCATTGATATATTAGGTGTACTAATAACAGATACATTAATCTCTACCTTCTCCTTACTAATCACAACATCATTTTCTCTACCAAGATCCTCATCATAGCCATTTCCATCATCAACATAAGAGAGATTTATGTAATTCGTCACAGAAACTTGAGTGACATTGGAATTGGATAAATCAATCACTGAAACTTTAACTTGAGACCAGTTTAAAGAAGGAATACCAAAACACTGAACAAGCAGAACAACAAAACCAACTGAAAAAATGGTTCCCGACAGCAATCTCCTGATGTCGGAATGATGAAACCTCTCCAATCGAGGAACGATTCTAATTCTCATTATCTCAAACGCAGAATAACTTAATCAGAGTATGAATTGAACAAGGGTACCTCTGTTTTGTTCATCTCTTCTTCAAGAACGAGGTTTAGAAACTAAATCCGAAACAGAACGAGAAAAAAAAAGATCTTTCAAGTCTTGGAGACGAGACAATCTTGAATCGAAAGTGAAAGGTCTTTAATAAAACCAAACTAAAGTGAAACAAGTGTTGTGTCTTCTTCTTACTAAGATTATTATATTTGAGTGTTTTGGTGAGACATCACTTTTATGCCAATTTAATTAAACTAATCTAACAGTCCAAAGATGATCAATAACAATAGTTAATTAACATTAGAGAAAATGGTAGTTAGTTACCAACCTAGTCTTCAAATCTTCGACTTGTAGGTTTACTAACCACCATTAGAGTTTCTAATGAAAATGAATCAGTCTAATTATCCAATAAACTAGTCAATGTCAATGTTATTTGACATCTTTAATCTACCGGTTTGGTTTGATTAATTTTAGATTAAAGCTAGTATTAATTTGGTTTGTTCTAAATTCAGTTTAAAAATAAAACCATATTTTGAAGGTTCTAATTTATAGGTTTACAAAAAAAAAAAAGTTCTAATTTATTATTATGCAATATGATATATTTTATTTTATTTTATTTTCACATTAATTCTCCAAAATTCTTTTAACTTTAATCTCTCAACCTGAACCTGAGTAAAAGTTTTGATCAAAAAAAAAAAATGAACCTGAGTAATTCTTTTCTATCACTATAAAATTTATATTATGAATTACTATTTAGCATTTATATTTATCTGTAATTCTCATTATTAATTATGTTTAAATTTTAACCTATTTTCATTAAAAAAATAAATACTATTTTGTGGTGTTTCTATACCTATTTGTAATTGTATATAACATTTATTTGGTGATATTTTTGTATAATCGATGTCGCAACCACTGGTCAACCAGCCAAAAGTCTTCTGCAAATGCACCTATTTTTTACTGTTAAAAACTGTAACCATTCGTTTCCGTAAACTCCCGCAATCGCAACTATATATTACGTTTAAACCAATGCAATTTAATAAAATTTTGGGTTTTATTTTTATCATTAAATTACCTCTAGAAAAATATTAGTTTAGTAGTGGTTAATCAAATATGATATGTCTTAATTTTTCATTTTGATTGGTTTGTAGTACTAATAATATGTCAACTTCTTATAACACAAAATCGTAGATTACATAAGAGTTCAAATAGACTAATATTATGAAGCAAAACTAGGTTGATGATGACTAATTTCTTGTGGCTCATCCGACAAGACATTACATTATTACTAACTAGTTACACAAACATTATAATACCTTTAGGGGAAAAAATAGTACATTATATTACTTTTTGTTCCAAGATAACGCACGTACCAACGGTGTATTAGCCTTTCTTGCAAAGTATATCCCATCGAGTCTTGCAGCCCATATGCGTAGCTGACCACATCGAGGAATAAGTCTTTCTCCTGCTTTGTATACTTCAACGTCAAATGAATACTCATTGCTAGGGCCTTGCCTAAAAATACATGCCCATCTCGTTAGATTTGGTATTTCATCACGGAACCTAATAGTATATGGAGGGCCATTGAAGTTCATTTTTTTCACGCCTAGATCATCATCTTTGGAACGACAATGGTATTCAAGAACACGACCAGGACCGAGTTCGTTAAGAATTACTACATTGTTTTGTTTGCAAGCTTGATTTACCACAAAATACTTAATAAGAACTAAAACCAAAAATAAGAGATTATTCATTTTCTGGTTCTAAAACCCACTATTGGAGTAATCACAATATCAATATGTAGTATTTATAATTCTCTTGTGTGGTAGACAATTCTTTTTTCCTTTGATTGCTATATAATATTCTTTATATGGCTTTGGCTAAATATAAAGATAAATATGAACCAATTAAACCTTTAAGCTAATTTTGAACGTAAATAAGAACCAATTAAACCTTTTATGGTGTTTAGTTAAACCTTCTATATATTAATGTTTGTATTAATAAACAAAAGTTGATTATACAGTGATTAAGCTAGTGAAAGATAGCTTTGTAATAGTCAAAGTACCCATATAAACTAGCCAAAGTCAATATTATTAAATAAGTTTAGATTAGGTTCTTTAATCTGGTTTTGAGTTGATTTTGTTTATGAATTAATTGATTTGGTTTACTTTTTGGGTTTAACCATGGTTCTGGTTATCTCTTATGCTTAATTGTAGAATGATTTTATTTTTTCTTTTAAGATTTGAATACTATTTCTTCTGTACTTCTATATTTGCAGATGAGCTCTGGTTTAATACTTTAAAGTACTCAATTTTGAATTTTGAAAGAAAAAAAAAAGAGAAGTTTTTTAAGAATATCATCTCTAATGATATGAAGCCTACTTTGTGCTACACTAAGTAGTTAAGTAAACAACATAAAGGTATACAAATTCATCTCATATCTTACTATTCGTTTTTGTTAATTACTCAATCTTAATAATTTTTCAGGTTACCTCATAACCGACTAATCAAAATAACCAACTAGATTGGTTCGGGTTACCCGAACTCCCATACCTATTTTAATATACAAGGGGTGCTAAGACGAATTGACCATAACACATATCTAAAACTCACAATTCAAGTTCTTAGCATTGTACCACACATCACACAATCATGTAAGCAAAGACCACGCATATTAACCAATGAAAATTAGATTATGTAAAGCCTACACAATAACCAACTGAATCAAACCAAATTTTCAAAGCATAGACCAAGTTCAAAGTATAGATCATGCAAAAGACTGATTGCCAGTTTGTGAAGCCACTATCTTTATTTACGTACAAGTCTCACTACCGAGTCTTGTATCAGTTGATAGAAAAAAAACTATTTATTGTAAGAAATTATATATTGTACTTATGAATAAGTTAGAGGGTATAACTGTAAATTATTTATTAACATTTAATTTTCTAAATTAATTTTATCTACTCCGTCATCTTCTCTGTGAATCTTTATCAATATATTATGAACCAACATCAGTGGCAACATGAAGATAAGATATGAAATTCAGCAACTCTAAAAACTTGATATTAAAATCGCAGTCACTCTAAAATCATAATATCGCAATGACATATATATCGCAGTGCAGTCGCTGCGACTTCTTCCCGAACATGGATGTCTCATAATTTAAAAAAATTAATCCAATATATATTGATAATTCTTTTGGCTTAATTCATAAGATGGCAAAAACAATTGACTATGTAAGAAAAAGAAAAGTACATTACTTTTTGTTCCAAGATAACGCTCGTACCAACGGTGTGTTAGCCTTTCTCGCAAAGTATATCCCATCGAGTCTAGCTGACCATATGCGTAGCTGACCACATCTAGGAATAAGTCTTGGCCCTGCTTTGTACATTTGAACGTCGAATGAATACTCCATGTTAGCTCCTTGCCTAAGAATACAATTCCATCTTGTTAAATTTGGTATTTCATCATGGAACCTAATAGTATATGGAGTGCCTTGAAAGCCCATTGTTTTGATGCCTAGATCATCCTTGTTGGAGTAGCAATGAAATTCGAGAATACGATTAGGGCCGAGCTCGTTCATAATTACTACTTGGTTTTGTTTGCAAGCTTGATTGAGCACAAAAGATGTAAAAGTGACTAAAAATAAAAAGATGAGATTACTCATTGTTGGATCTAAAACTAGTAATAGTTTAACAATGACACAACATGAAGTAGTACTTATACTTTTGTGGAAAACGTTTTTTTTTTCCTTTAATTACAAGATTATATTTATAACTTTAGGTCACTTTAAACATAAATATTGACCAATTCAACCTATTAAAGGTGTTAACTAAATTTGAACGTAATTTTGAAGCTATTAAACAATATAGATAACATAGTAACATCTCTCTTAAATATAGATTTAATGAATCTCACTTTTGACTTTTTTACATGTGCTTTATTATATTAATTTTAATTATATTATAATACTAAAAAGTATCAAAGAGACAAAAAAAAAAATCATCATTTAAAAGTTTTTATATAAATATCAATACTATAATAATTTCAAGATATAAAATGTACCTTTTGGATTAAAACATTTATTTATTAAAATACTTCACTTAAAAACTCATATTAAGAGGATTCAATGGAATTATTATTGTTGTTATTATATTTCGCCATATGTAACACTTTTTGCTTTTCTTACAATATATCACATTTTTAAAAGTTTATAATTTTTTTTATCCTTATATTCTTGAAGAGCCAATATTTTCATTATTTTAAAATAAATAACACTAAAATAGTTTATAAAAATCAAGCTAGTACTTTAAAACAAAATTCACCTTTTCTATCTCTCTCACTCTCTGAATAATAACATTAAAATTAAAATTTAATCAGCTAATTAATGCAATTTGTAAACAGTCTAAATTCAATTATTTTATATATAAAAAATTCTAAGAAAAATGAGAAAAAAAAAACAGAAAATGAAAGTTTTGCTAATATATTAAAAAAAATTGGCGAAAAGGTGTATTTTAAAAAACATATTGATGCAGCGAGATATTTGGAATATTTCCAAATATCCCAAAAAATCTATAGTTATTATCTTTAGCTAATTATTTATTATTATTCTAGAATATTCTAATCATTAGGGTTTTGAGGTTTATTATAAATAGAGGTTTTTAGGAGAGTTTGTAGTTTAGTTTTATGATTGATATTGATTTTGATTAATAAAGTTGAGAGATTCTCCTTTATAAACGAGCTTTCGGGCACGGGGAAGAGTATTCCCAAATTTATCCTTTTTATCGCTTCCACCTCTGCACCACATATGGATTACTTTAGTTAACGTCTTGGTTAAAAAAATTTTCTAGGCGCTAGTCGAGCGATCGAGGTGGGTCTAGTACCTAACAAAAAAAAAAGAGTTTAAACGATCAAAGACTAATTTTAGGGTTATTTTATTAAATTGATAATAAATTTTAAATATATGGTATAAAATTATTAATAACATGTACAGTTCGATTCATGTTAATGAAAAATACAATATGATATAAAACTATAATATTGGTTTTAAAATTATTCTAAATAAATGAAAACATAATTTTATAGCCAAATTTATGATTTTCATTATAACTTTGAATATGAATTATTATTAAACATCACAAATTTTAAATAATCGATAAAAAAGGTTAGTCGGGGATTAGTCATTAATCGAAATAGATAAGTAGATTCTAGCGATTATTCGAAGAGTCATCAGAGCTTTGCGAAGATATTTTAAACTGACTGCTTTCAAAATGGATTATTATAATTATTTTACTACTCTATTAGATCATTTTAAATAATAATCACCTATATAAAAGTCCAAAATATATACTTTTTGTATAATTTAACCAGCAACTATTCCCATTGGCCATTGCCATACCCCCATGAGGCCATGACACACCTAGCTCTAGCCCTGGGAAAAATATTCGTTAGATTCGCTTCGCTTCGATATTCGTTTCGATTCGATTTGAAAAATTCAAATATCTATAAAATATTGAACCGAAGCAAATATGAAAATGTAGTATTCGTAAAAATCGAAGCAAATAACAAATATTGATTTTCTTAGTCCCGAATATCCGCTTCGCTTCGTATATTTATATATGTATTAATATAAATCATTTTATAATATATATATATATAATATGTGTATTTATAGATTTGGGTATATATCTTATAGGCTTATTATTCAAATTATTATATTTTGGTCCGTTGGTTTTTTTTGCTAAATGTTGTTCTTAATCAAATAAAACTTTATTAGAAAAATCAAAATTAAAAATAAAATGTGAGAATTCTATGGACGGTGGTTACATTTTCTTCTTATTTTGAAAACATGTCAAACAAGAACCTCTAATATCTCATATTTTGCACTTTATATTTGTGTACTATATGTTTTTAGTTTTAAAAAATAATTAGATGGGTCGAAGCGAAGCGAAGCAAGTAATTCGCAAATATTACGAAAAATATTCGAATATTCGAAATTCCGAATACTCGAAAATTTACGAAGCGAAACAAATAGCAAAATCAACTATTCGGTCGAAGCGAAGCAAATCACAAATATAACAAATTTTCCGAATATTCGCTTCGTGCCCAGGGCTACCTAGCTCATTGTCATTGCATATGCAAGCATATAAAAAGAACTTCCTTCCTCGTAGCCGCCAAACCCCAAAATTGACAAATAAAATTATTTTTTGCTTTTAACATAAAATTGAATTCCAACATTAATCAAATACGTCACACGATTACGGTCCAAAAAAGGCGAAGGAAAATTCAAAACACACGTTTGGTATTATTAAAGAATTAAAATCTTTCTTTTGTTACGTCCAAGACTTGCTTTTTTCTAACTTTCTTTTTCTCTTCATACTACTATTTAACCAATACCTAACAAAGTAACAAAAACTTATATATATACACATTAACCAAAACAAAACTTGAAGATACTACTCTCTTCTTGCAAGCTTCAAGAACGTAACTAAAACATGTCCGATCACCAAAAAATCCATCCGGTAAGCGATCTTGAAGCTCCACCACATCCAACGGTTCCTCTTGTTCCACGTGACTCTTCAAGATCGGAACATGGTGATCCTACCAAGACGCAGCAGCAGCCAACACCGTTGGATCCTCAGAGGAAGAAGAAGAGATCAAGAAGCTGTTGGTGTAGATGCTTGTGCTACACGTTACTAATCCTCGTTCTTCTCATTGTCATCGTAGGAGCAATCGTTGGTATACTCTACTTAGTCTTTAAACCGAAGTTACCGGATTACAATATAGACCGGTTACAACTCACCCGGTTTCAACTAAACCAAGACTTGAGTTTATCAACAGCCTTTAACGTTACCATCACAGCCAAAAACCCAAATGAGAAAATTGGTATTTACTATGAAAACGGAAGCAAAATCAGCGTTTTGTACATGCAAACCAAGCTCAGTAATGGTACGTTAATTAAAAACCGGTTTACTAGCAATTCTAGATTTGTTTGGTTTAAATTTGGTTTAAGTAGTTAACCGGGTTTTAATTTGTAAATTTTTTTTTCTTTCTACAGGGTCATTGCCAAAGTTCTACCAAGGGCATGAGAACACGACTGTTATAAACGTTGAAATGACTGGTTTTGACCAAAATGCGACAAGTTTAATGAATATATTGCAAGATCAACAACGGTTAACCGGAAACGTACCGTTGCGGATTAGAGTTACCCAACCGGTTCGGATCAAACTCGGGAAATTAAAGTTGATGGAAGTGAGAGTCTTGGTTAGGTGTGGTGTATCGGTTAATAGCTTGGCTGCTAATAGTGTCATTAGGGTTCAAAGTAGTAACTGCAAATATAGGGTTAGACTATAATTTCATTTATTATTTCATAATTATTTTAAAATATTTATTCATTACAATTTGGAGGGGTTGAGGTGTTGTAGTTCCCCCCATATATACAACGGTCGTCTTTTTTTTTTTTTTAAGAATAAACAATTTTGTTTCACAATTGTAAATGGTTAATAAAAGAAACATTTTATTTGAAATTGTTCATAATTCTTAATTTATAATTTATAATGTGAAACATTCTTTTGTTTCACAATTTTGTTCCAACGGTGCGGTTTATACCGGAACATATTAGTCCGAACTAAACCGCACCAAAATTACCGGTTTCCGATTCAAAATAGTTAGCAACGGTTCAATTTGAAGGGATTTGAGTTATGTTTGGTTTATTGTTTGATATCCAAACTGGTCGGTATATGGAGCTGTAAATAAAAAATATATTATGAACTTAAAAAACGATTTAAACCAAAATATATTAACCTGAATTAAATTAACCAATTTTATCTAATTTGACCGGTTTTACCTGAGTTGAGCCAGTTGAACACGATTTTAACCGAGAAAACCCAAAACAATTGGTTCAATTTGGTAGAATTTTACTAATCAAAATAAACCAAAAACCGAATCAATTATTAATTTATTTCATTTTTATGGCAAATTTTAATAACCGAATAAACTGAGAACCCAAAAACCGATCGGATTTGGTTTCGGTTTATCGAACCCACATGGCTATTTTCATTATTGGGTTAGAAGTTAGAAACAACCTTTGTGCCTATTTTAGTTTTGCTAAGCATATGGTGTATTATTACCTCTTTTAGATCTTTTAGTCTCATAAACAAATTCTTAAAGAATATCTATTAAAATTGATTTCAAAGTAATATTCTCTGTTTTCCTTTTCTAGAATGAGGAAGAAATTAAATTTCTTTTATGATAAAAAGTCATCTCTTTGTCATACCTTTTTTCTTAAAGAGCTCAAAGATCAAAAGTCTTGCTCATTGAGCAAAAAAACAGACAAAAATATTGTTGAACTGTCTAGCTAATATCTATATATCGAGAAGCATTTTACTTTTCAATCACTTGCAATACATTTCTCAAACGATAACTATTTTTTCCTTAATACTAACATTTCAACCAAAAGATGTAAACAAGAAAAAGGGTCAAGACAAAGAGGCTTTGACATCTCTTATCTTCTGGAGACAAAGCTGAGCCCTCTCAAGAACCATTTCAACTCTACTTTTTCTCTTCTTGACCACTCTCTGACTTATCATCTTGTTATTATTGTTCTTGTGGATCTTTCCCATTGTTGACGAAGATGCTTGGTCTCCACAATTCTCCATCACACACTTTCTCTTCTTATGTTTTTGTTTATACTTACAGTTTGATGACTCTGTCCAATGCATCAAACAACAATTTAATGACAAATTTTTATATATTTTTAGCTTATGCTATATGTATACCAGATATAACTGAAATTTAGACCAAATGAATCTTCTCTATTATTATTTTTTTGGTAAGTTGAATCTTCTCTATAATAGGCAAGTCGAAAGATATCGTCCTCAAATTTGTTTTGGTCCCAATTCTTACTTAAGGACAAGCTACAAAGTAAAGATTAATCATCATTCAAAACAACACTAATAAAGCAAGTATGTATGTAAAGATTTATTCTAGTAGTACCACTAGTATAGTAATAAGGCAAATATAATTGTAAGAGAAGATAGATAAAAATGAGAGTACCTTGAGTGAGGACAACGGAGGAGGAGGGGATAAGCGGCGGCGCGTGATGTTCACGGAGGTTAGAAATGAAAGATTGAAGATCGGATTTGAGGTAGGAGAAGCGGTTGGGGTATTGAGAGTGAAGAATCTCGAGTTCCTCTTTAGCTGTTTCCACTAGTTGCTTCTCCCACGACGAAGAAGTCATCTTCTCCGACAAAACAAGTAACGCAAATCTTTCTTTCTTTTTTCTCACTGTCCGAGAAAGAAGAAGAATAGGGAAAGAAACCATTGAGAGAGTAAATTAGTGGAGTTGGAGGGTATTGTCGTCTTTTGTGTTGCACGTACGGATGTGACAGTTCGCTTAAGACACGGAAAGGGATTTGTGTTTTTTTTGCTTTTCTTGTCTTGCCACACTTTTTGGTTTCATTGGAACACGAGAGAGCAAGGAAAAGGCGTGGTCGTTTTTTGTGTATCCAACCAATCCGTTTGGGTTCTGTTCGAATATATCAGAGATTTAGAGATATAGAACTCGTTTGAGTTTGGTTTGGATTTTTAGATTTTTTGGGGTTTTTTTTGGTTTAGAGATATATGATTTGGAATTTTTAGATTTTGGGTTTAGATTTGGTTTTTTGAGTTCGGTTTCGAATTATACGACATTCCCAAAACTCAAAATTTGAATATTCAAATATGTCCGAATTACTAAAAAAAACTCAAAACCAATAGTATTTTTTACTCAAACAGTCAAACTTGTTAAAAAAATATTAATACAAAAAGTCTAAAATATACTGAAATCTGAATATTTTGGACATTTAGATTATTACAAATATAAATATTATTAATAAAATATTACAATATACATGTTTTCTCAGGTATCTGTTCGGATTTGAATTTGGATATGGTTTCGGTTCGGATTTTCGGCATAGTAGAGTAATGACAGGCAAGACTACAAAAAGAAAAAAGGTGGTCTGGCTTTCTAGTTTCCTACTCACTAACTAAATTTTGGGGTCAGTTCACATGTAGTTGTAGTGTGTACACACGTTTTTTTATCGTCGTTTGGTTTATTTGCATTTTATTAACCGTTCTTTCATCTAAACCAATTTTTAATATTTAAATTACTCAAGATTCACACAAGTATACGGTGAAAAACCAAAAAGCATACACAGCTGCAATTCTTATTATGTACATTATCATTCTGCAAGCTTTTATTCTGCAACTTACGCCATTAAATCAAAATCATTAGATTTGTACGTAGTTGAACTTTTTGGAGGTTGGTGTAAACCTATAAACTAACATATGCCTTTGCTACTGAGTATTGATGCAAGGCCTCTTGTTGTAACCTTTATTATGAATATAAATCCAGATGACCAAAAAAAAAGGGACATCATCCGTAACTTAGAAAAGAAACTAATCTTATTGGAGTAAAGAAAAAATTTCTATAAATAATTTTCAAAATTCAGGCTTGTGAAAAGCCGCTTATCAAATCCCTAAATGTTTATGATGATACAACATTGTGGTTTACAAATATGAATGAATTTGAAGTTGTACAACATGCCAAATGCATTGGCATTGTGTGGCTCAGACAGCAGAACAAGAAGCCAACTCGGTTACTGGATTTTGTTCGATAAGCAGATCGCTGGAAATCGCAGATGCTATTCTGTGTCGTTTCAAAATCAAAGAAGTCGCAATTTTTGCGGATTGGTAGTTCAAGATGATTACCCTCTCATCATCGTCTAAGTCTAACCTCAGTTCCTCGGTGTTGCAGTTCTCTATGAGCTGACATAGATGTCTCAGATTATCCACTTCCACTCCGTTCACTTTCTTCACCTGTTTTCAACACATCAACAGTTTTCTTGCTGTTATTAGAATCATATGGTGTTCTGTTAAGTTTGTTTAGTAATTGCTGATTACCTATATCTATGCCATGTTGAGAAGAATCAATCAATGACTAAAGAGTTAGGAGTAATTTGCCGTAACTACAACGAGGTTTAGGATTAGCTTTTACTTACTTGTAGCTCTGCGAGACGCTCGTATCCTGTGTTGATGTCATCCATTAACACCTATCAAACAGAGATTAAATTATCAGTGTGATGCCTAAATGACGAGACACCATTGTTGTTAAATTTGCTGGAAATACAAAAGCTCTAAAGCAAGCTATCGTTGTTTAATTATCATTGTAGCACAAGTGATTTTCAAACTTTCGAACAACTTGAATTCAGAGAATAGTATGAAGTAGGATTATTTGATGAAGTTTGTAGTTGAAAATCTTTAAAACTGAACGTTATTGGTAAAAAAAAAAAGAGAATCCTTTTGGTCTTCAGGAAACGTATTCGGTTCTGGTACTTGGCTCGAAACACTAATCAAAGAAAAGAAGCTACAAACCTGAGAGACAATGACAAGTTGTTGACCGGCTTTTTTGGGCAAATCTTTTAGTGCACGCATGCATAAACTGCGGGGAGAAGTGTTATACCAATCTTCTCCATATTCATGAAGGTATGGTTGAGTGAGAGGTACAAATACGAAGCCCGCAAAAATGTAATAACTGGGAAGCTGATCAAATTGATGCACTGGAACCAGAGGTTGCAGCTGCATACAACACAAAACTTTTATGCTTAGAAGAACAGATGATTTTCCATTATATAGATGTAATATGAACCAGCGTTTAAACTATATACCATGATTTTGTTAGTTATATCTTTAACGAGCAGACCAAATGACTTACAGGTTTTAGTGTGATACTGAACTCATGTTCTTTCCCCTCCCTCAAGACTTTAACCAAGGCCGTTTCATCTGGTTTCTTCATAGAAACCAGATAATCAAAAGTGATTCGCTCCCTGTTCCGGAAAGGAACTGCAAATACATGAAAAATACACTTCTTCAGCAAAATAGGCAAACGATTCAGGACCGAGGTTCATGGGAATAAAGGAATATATACCTGTTCCATCATTTGCTATAGAAACATTATCAAACGAGAGAATAACATCATCCTTCTTCAGAATCCTGTGAGCATCTGATAGAGGGTTAATTTTGCTTATAAGAACCCCTGTCATTTCAGGACTCATCTGAAATCCACGACGGAGTTGAGCATTCTCCATAGGCTGACATGATACTCCCATTGCGCAGAAACCAATGTATTTACCACATTCTTCAACACCAGTTATGAAATGCTTAATTACTGGTGTTGGAATGATATAGCTGTAATTTGAAACAACAAAACCAAAAATTAGTTTTAAATCTTGGCTTGTCATCACACGTATACCATACTGCGATTATTATGCATATTGGAAACCAAGATCATAGTCTCAAATTTGGGAGATATCTCAACTATCAAGACAGCAGTGAAGTCAGTTATCTTTCCTAGAGCGACAAATAAACTTGCGTTACAAAAGTCTTAATTATCGAGATAGCTATATTCTTTTACTCAAAAAACTTTGTTTCAATCCTTTTGTTAAGGCAAATATATTTCCTAGTGCGATAAATAAACTTGTGTGACATATGTTTTAATTATCAAAACTTTGTTTCAAATAGAGCTAGAAAGTTCTCAAAAACATATAATACCTACTCACCCTATATTCTCAGCACCTGAAAGATTCTGAAACGCGACACCAGCCACTTTGTTTCCCATAATAGCCGGACCACCACTATTCCCTGGATTAATCGCCGCATCTATTTGTATAGCCATTAGTTGAGTAGCACCATGAACATATTGCGTTGGTTCAACTCGCGACACAACACCCGTTGTAACAGAGATATTATCACCACCTGCACTCAACACAAAAACTCAAAACCATTACTTAACATTTTCCAAATACGCTCAACTACATAAATGGAATCCTTAAGCCAAGAACTAATTTTACCTTGAGGATAGCCAACAACCGCAACAGCTTCCTGCAAAAACGGTATATCACCGAGCTCTAACGAATTCATACCTTCCCAAAACACTTCACTATCAACAACCAATATAGCTAAATCACACTCATGACCAACAGCTTGAACTTCTGCTCTATGCTTTATAGACGAACCATGCTTTCTAACTAACACAAAGGAGTGATCAGCCACTACATGAGCATTAGTTATAATCCTTCTTCCAGATATCACAAATCCTACATCAATTATCAAACAATGGAGTCTGAATTTGGAAAATTACAGATTGATTTTGGAAAATCAAAAGAGATTTGAGTGGTGTGGTGATACCAGAGCCCATTGATTCTCTTTGAGACTTGTTCTGCCATGGAAGAAAGTAACTAGGACTTGTAGAAACAGTGAAGATCTTCACTACTGAATCTAACGCCAAATCAACCGCATCCGCCGCCGGCGAGTTTGATTGTGATTTTCCGGCATGCCTCCGCCGTGAAATCTTTCTTTTACTAGCCCGTTTAGAAAACACCGGTGCTGATGCAGTCGTGTATTGACGATTCTCGTTTTGAGGATTCACGCTTATAGAGTAACAGAAGCGAGGGGTATGACTGGGGAAATAGCTTTGAACGTCGCCATTGAAACGTTGTAAGAAGGGAGGAGAAGGGCGGTAACCGGAGACTGAAGAAGTGGAGATACGGCGGAGAAGCTCGACGGTGCGAAATGACCGGAGCAGCATATTTATTTTGTTTTTCCGATAACTGCTTATTTGGGTTTTTCCAAATGAGGTTTTAAGCGGCTAGGTTTAGAGAGTTTGTTAACCGATTCGTACCGACCGGTTTACTGTTAGTCTCAAAAATGGTACGAAGTAACAGTAACAGAGAGTAATAGCAACAATGGATAATATACAGTAGTATAAAAATGGCTATCAATACAATAAAAATGAAAATACACTACATAGTTTAGAGAACAATAAACATTTAAACGAAATAAATGTGGCTAAAAATGCACCAAAAGGGTGTATTGCATTTTGCATCGCTTATTTTGTATATTTGCATCAGATATAAATGAGTTTTACATCACTTTTTTTTTTCTTTTTTTTTTTGGGTGATTTGGTGAATGAATAGTTGATGTTGAGTTTTACATCACTTATATAATTGATTCTGGAAGTGTGAATGATAGCAAATATTTTGTATCATTAATCATAATTACTGTTAATATGCATTGGTTGTAAAAAAAAAAGTTGATGTTAAGCTTTTTATATGATTTTTAAAAGGTACTAGTGATGGACCCGCACGTACGTGCAGGGTTATTTTTACAAAATTACGATTTTTTTAGTAGATGCTATTTTGGTAAAATTTTGTTATATGTGTATATTTGATAAACTATTGTAAAATATTACATACAGTTGTAAAATATAGATATTGTATTACATAATACAATTTTAAAATTATTTAAATGAAAATGATAAGTGATATAACATGTTTATTTTTTAAACTAATCAAAACATTTCTAACTGTTTGCTTAGACATGTTAAATCGGATTTGGGTTTAGCTTTAGTTTGAATTGTTTTATGTGTAGTTTATAATGGAAAACCCGTCATGTCCCTTTCCGTCTCGTCCTGACCCGTCCCGTCCCACCCCGCCCCGTCCCGTCCCGTCTTCTATCTGTCATAAAATCTCCGTCCCATAATCGTTTCTTTTTAAAACATAATCATTTGGCAATGTTTTTTATAAAAAAACTTGGTAAAAGATTTAGACAGGATACCCGTATTCCTCGTTTAAATATTTATTTTTATAAAACTAATAAAAATCTAATTATCAATCTAAGTCACATGCTCCCACCATTTTCATTCACAAGGCACTGTATGTAATCCTAGCGTACACAATCTTTGTTCGATTTTTAATTTTATTGATCTTTCAGTTTAATCTTTATTTCTCATTACTTTCTTCAATTCAACGATTCATGTTTTAGCCTTTTTGTTTTCTAAAGATTTAAGTATCTCTATTTTTTTAATACATGGATTTATTCTAGTTTTGTTATCCGAAGTATACGTTATCTTCTTGTACCCGTCATTTCATGTCTAAATATTTCTAAATATTTGAAATAAATAGGAAAGTGGAAATTAAATTTAACAGTTTAAATTACATGTCCTCGTATCGTACTCGTAGTTTTATATTTGAAAGTTGAAAGTGAATTTAACTTTATGACTGTGTCTCATAACAATTATATCTAATCACGTTTTTTTTTATTGTAGAAATAATTACAGATAATGTTTTTTTCG